TCTTTTTATTGTAAAAGAGTCTGTGCACTAGTAAAAAAACTGGGTTGAAAACTGGGTTAATATTCTCATCTATCACATGTCCAGTTATCAACCAAGATCAGAAAAAGGTCCACTGTGGCTCTGCACAGAGAATGAACTGAAATCATACATCTTTATGTGTGACATTAATTCAGTCATATCTGTGACACACATGCAACCATTCAGACCAATACCACACCGGTCTGTGAAGCTGATCTCAACTGTTTGGAGACAAATACGTTACACATACCTGTCTTTGAGTTTCTTCTTTTCCACTAAAGCCAAATTTAAAATAAATAACTAAAAGGATAAACTTCAAACCAAGCATCTGATCATTTGAAACCTTATAGACGTAAAAATCCGTGACAAGGTTGAAAAAAGTACGATTAAAAATGGTAAATTAAAATGATATCTGAACATCTGTTTTTCATTTGCTTCTTTGGGATTTGGAGCATACAACAACAGTAAGGAGTAACTGGTGAGGCTGATGGGCGGCTTTGAGGATACACTGGGGGAACAATCATTCAACTGTAAAAGTGATTTGGCTAGGAGGCAAAAGTCCAGACAGACAGATTGTGGGGTATATCATACGCTTTGTCTGTGAAGGGGAATTTTGAAGCTGTCGATGGGAGAGACAGATAGCGAAAGGCTTTGAAATCGGTTGAAAGGGAGGAGGGGCAATGTTCTGTATAAAATATCATTTCATTTAAACACATACACGCATACAGCAGGCCCACATGCTGTACAGTGAAACACTCTCCCATATTTATAGCCTAAACAGGTGCAACCCTACGATACCACCTCCACCTCTGTTCCTTCCAGTATTGCTGCTTTTCACACCTACTCTCCTATACATTACGTCACCTCTGACAGGAAATGAGCCACTACTATTCAAGCAGCTGTAGAGACCGCTCTCTTCTTATGGGCTTTCATTTAGGTTCCCTTCCATGTCATTTATTATTCATGTGTATTAAAGTCAATATTGTTTTCTTCTCATGATCCAGAAGAACAGAACTGATCTAGACCCATACAAAACATTAAAGCCCATCTGCTGTGTTTTTTCAGTGCAGTCTTATGCAATAGGAGGCTCTTTTGGGGCAACTTGAGCAGTTATGTGTGAACATGCTGCCACTTTGTGGCCTTGCAATGCAACTACTATCAGATTGTTCTTTCACATGACATATTTTCTACACTAGAGGTCAGCATTTTAAAGGCGTGCCAGTGTGTGACCATAATAAAGTAGTGAAACTGCTTTGGTTTGGTACAAAAGGGCATAGTCCACATTTCAAGTGTTTTTGGCTTCTAGTGAGAAAACTCAGTAAAGCTGTTTCTCACATTTGGATATTGTTTTTGAACAATAACCAATTTGTAAAGAGTTTCATCATTTATTCTATCTTGTCTAGTGTGGTTCTATACTCATGGATAAAACTGACTGAAAAGCATTGTTTGTCAGCTCTGCCTTTGTGTATTTTCATGACCATTTATGTCTATCTGGTTTTTTTTTTAAGATAAACATAAATACTCACATTCCCACACATAATAATGCAATGGAAAACTAAAAAGCAGTGTTCACCAAATGAGTTCAAATGATTCACGATGCAACAAAAACACATTCACAGATTATGCGCTTTAAAGACACACATATAAATAAATAAATATCTGAACACTGAAGGGGAACGAAACCATCTGTTTGACATTTGCAGTTCGGTTTTCATTATTTTTAAGATGTGTTTTATACGGCATGGGAAAATTCTGTCCAAAATATTTACAGCATTGAAAATTGGCCCTGATTTTCAGGCCCTCGCTGAACACGTTGTGCTTTAATCCACATGATCTTAAAAATAGTGTGGTAATGAATGGTTGTTTTTGCACAACACAACTTTGTTCAGCTAAAGAAATAACACAACACAAATCGTTTATTTAACTGTTTCTATTTGAAATACACATGTAACCTGATACAGCGCTCTTCTTCTAAATGTACATTAATTCCAGTGATCGCCAGGACAAAAAAACTGCATGTGTGGAATTGTTTGTCAAATCTGATTAACAACAAAAGCACAAGCTCCATGATTTGTTGCTCCCATTGCGAGTGAGATTTCTACTTTTTTGACATTTAATGTGTTGCAGTTTTTTCAGGGTTGATAGCAGTTTAATTTATACTGAAAATAATGAGTTGCTGCCCTTATCAGCACTCATGCTGCATACCTTAGAGAGTTATTATCTCTGTGCACTGTGGGGCTAGGGCATGAGTCATGAATTGGGTTGTTTTCTGTCTAAGCTAACATTGTTGTTGTTAAGGCAAAACCTATCATGGTCTACTACAGCAAGTATGCTAGGACATCTCAGCCAAGTTCAAAATTAAACCAGACCAGACATTAATTTATTAGAAGTTTGTAGGATAAAGCCTTGATTAACCCTTCATGTCTTTATATTTTGCTGGGGAAAATAATATGCACGTGTGTTTTGTGGCAGGCTGCTCTTAACAAAATGCCTAAAGATAAAATTTTAAATCGGATCTTTCCTAAGTTGTGTGTTATCTGTAGAGAAAGGTCCATCTTTTGAGTTAGGTGATGTTTTTATGGTTGAATTATGTAAAGGTCAGTGTTAAGTGGCTTAAGAAACATTAAAACATTCCTCTAAAATGGTCAAGTACACAGAATGTCCAAAGAAAAATTTGCTAGACCTCCAGGATACCTAGAGAGTTATTACTCTAGACCGAGTCGCAATATGATCTGGCTCCTTGGCTGCAAAACACAAGAACTGAAGGCTGCAACAAGACTTTTGTGCAGTACTGTAACCTAATGCTGAAGAAGAGAATAATACATCTAACCATTCATCATAATCAAATTGCTATCACTGGTTTTTGCACTCCTGGAGTACTTCAAAATATTAGCATATGAGTGAAAGGCCAAGCAGTTTCCAGGATCCACTTCTCACCCTTATATAACCTCTTAGATGCAAATGCCTTCGCGTGGCAGATAGTAGCCACTGTAAAGCGGCCATCACCTCTGACCCCTCTTCCTAAAGTTGCCCCATTTTCCCACTATTGATCCTTCAGATTCCTCTGACATTGAGAGTAAGTGTGACAATCCTCTTCCAGATAAAGGCATTTTAGGAGTTATTACCCATGGCTTACCCAGAGCTTATGTGTGAAACCTCTCCATACAGAGAGGGGCACTGAAATGGACCATTAAAGTTAACTATGCCGGGGTAGTGTGTGGTTCAAAGGTTGCACTCTTTCTCCTGGAGTATTCTGTTCAGTAGCTTTTAAGTCTTCTGATGCTACAGATAGAGGCACGTGAGGGTCAACTGGAAAAGGCAGACAATAAGGGAATTCAGCATGATGGGTAAGCAACTCTCATACATCAGTTGAGCAATGTCTTTGTTGTGCTGTCCTTAACCTTCATTGTTTTACTCTATTATCATATTTAATGTATTATTTTACTGTATTCATATTATCCCTTTATAATTTTGGGATTCTGCATTCTATGTGTATTTTATTAATTTATTTAATTTTTTAGTTTTTTCACCAAAAAGTTATTTAAATATGAAGATGTGTAAATTGTTATTATTTGATATCGGGGTTTTTTTAGAATGTGTTTGAAGCCAGAAAGAGGTCAGACCTGTTAAAAGGGAATGAAAATCAAAACCAAGTACATGTTATGGGACCTAAAATGTAGCACACATACACATGGTCATTTATTATATTGTATTACATACAGAAGCCATTCGTAACTTTCTAGGAAACTGGAGATTCATACAATCAGTTCATGTTTTTAAACCTGTTAAGGTTTAAAAGCTACTGGTCAAAAACAAATGTTTAGCACACTTTAAATATCTGTGGCTCAGGATAAATTTATCAGAAGGGGTGAATAAGGCTTGTACAAACAAGTGCTCAAACAGATTAGAAAAGTGCCATATAAATAAGTGACAGGCCATTTATTGATTCAACAGGTTTATAAATGTAACCAGATTTTATTTTTAACGCTGAGAATGTTCTTATGACTCTTGTCTGAAATTTGTTTTACTGATATTTGTCCCTCAACAGAGAAAATAGAAGTGCTGACACTCACACTTGTCCTGCTGTGCACTGTCTCTGGATTTTCACAGAGTACGTATTACATTCCAGTAAGTTAAAGCTAGAAAGTTTTTAGCAGTTTTGAGTTGACATTCTTTCAGTAAAGATAATCATTTACAGACCTAAGCCCTGACATTCCCGTAAACACCTTTCATGTTAATTATGCTAGTTGTTGTAACGTGAAAGTGTAGCTTTTTAGTGCTTATTTAAATGTATGAACTTTCTGTCATTGCATTGTACAACAGGACTGACTTTCGCTCAGATAGACGGATGGAACAGCCATGACCAGTCTGACTTGAGAAATAAGGAGCTTAGCGATGTCTATACATCTGCAGAGATGAGAAAAAATGGCGCCGAAAATATTACTGAGGAATCCACTCAAATGACAAAAACTGAGGAACAGAGGGGTGAAAGGAATACCTCAGAGAGGAACCCTACTAGAGAGCTTGTCGAGAAAGTAAAGACTGTGAAGGAAAGAAGGGGAGATGGACTGACTTCACAGATAGAAACAGAAATGGAGGAAAACACAGAGCGTGAAACGACCACAGCTGGCAGTATAGAAGGACTCTTTGTAAAGAAAAGTGATGAAGGGTACACCCCTGAGACATTTCTCACAAGTAGTCTTTTACAAGAAGGAACAAAAAGAGAGATCTACTCTGTACCAGACACAGCTGAATATGTAGATACAGATAAAGAGGTTGCATCGAAAATGAGAGAAAATGGACCGAGTTTGGACCCTGCCTCAAAGACAGAGACACACAATGAGAGCAGGAGACTGATACGTACTGGGGGAAAATGGAAAATAGATCATGATCATGATGCAGTGATACCAGAGGAAGCGAATCACAACAGGATAGATGTGAAAGTGAAGAGAAGTGATCAAATAGAGAGGCTAAAACAAAAAATGGTTGAAGAGGAGCAAGAAGGAGAGCTAGTTGCAGGGATCAGTCATCAGGAGAAGAGAAGAGCGGCACAAACTATAAAAGAAATAGGAGACAAGGAGAAGGGCGCGAAAAAGAGTGAGGACATAGCCCATGCAGTCTATAAGGAATTAATAGAAAAAGAAGATCAGGTATTAATTAACAACATTGCATCTCCTTTAAGTATATTTCCTGCTCAGGTAGAAAATGCCACAATTCAAATTATCATCCATTCTCAAAATAAGCCTCCCGCTTCTCACATCTCCCCTTCACTTCCTGTCACACCCACACAAATTCCTCCAGACTCCTCTCACCCTCCCACCCTTTACACCACGGATAGTTTTCAGTCTCCTTCTGTCAATATTCACATTCCTAACTCACTCAGTCACATCACAGACTTAACAGAGAGTCTGGGGGGCCATCTCAAGCAGAAAGAAATGGAAGTGAAGGCTGGCTCAGTTATAGAAGATGTAATGGCTAAAAATGTTTTGTTGAAACCAGCATGGAAAGAGGTACAAACACACAGAGCAGAGGACAAGGGGGAAATAAACATAGTTGTGCAACCATATGAGGAGGAATTTATCTTGTTGGTCCAAACAGCAACAACACAACCCAATGAAGCAAAGTTTTTCACCAGAGAGCCAAACTCAACATCAAAAATAAATGCAGTTTTATCTGCTGAAGTGCCTCGGCTTGCACACAAATCAAACACGTCGCAGTCGATGGGAAAATACCGAAATGTTGAACTGATGGAGAATTACACCAAACTTACAGGGAAGCAAAATAAAGCATCTTTTCCGCAACTACAGCTGAACAAATCTTCAGCCAAACCACAGCTCGGAACTGCCAAAACACCTTCACCGAGGCCAGTGAAAAACAACAAGCAAAGCAAAAATAAGACCATCAAGAAGTCCAAGGAAAAGAGAAGGAAGAAGAACAATAAAACCCAAAAGCCACCAAAGAAGAAGAAAGAAATCTTACCACCAACGCAGTTTCCTTACTTTATGGACAACTATTGTCCAATCGAGTGTGCCTGCTATGGAAGGTAAGACAAAGGATACTAAAATGAGACTAAGATACCCTTTCAATATTCTTAATATTAAATCACTAATGATTCTTTAATTGTATGTGTTGTTTTTAGAGTGGTCCAGTGCTCAGACAAAGGTGTGGATACGGTTCCTTATGGTATCCCCTATAATTCCCGCTACATCCTCCTTATGAATAACTACATCAACAGCATCCAGCTGGACCTGCTAAATCAATATGACTCTATGGAGTTCCTTGTACTAAGCAACAATCGTCTCACAGATGGTTCAATTGAGGGAGCTTTTGAAGGGGTCCCAGCTCTGAAACGCCTCTACTTGGATAGGAATCTCTTACAAAGGGTGCCAGCAGACCTTCCAGCTTCTCTGGAGGAGCTTCGTCTGGACAACAACCGCCTGACCGTGATCTCGAAGGCAGCCTGGGCATGGTGCCCTGGCCTCTTGGTTCTGAGCCTCAGCAACAACAGCCTTGGGAATAATTCAGTTCCTAATGGCGTGCTCTCCCCTCTAGGGAACCTGCGCACTCTAAACCTGGATCACAACATGTTGATCTCAGTACCTCTGGGGTTACCATTGTCAATCAAAGAACTCTATCTTAAGGGTAACGTCCTTGAGAGTTTTGGCCGAGGAGCTTTCAACGGGAAATCAGGGTTGGTGGTGTTGGACCTGAGTGCAAACAGACTGATAAACAAAGGGCTAGATAGGGATTCCTTCCTCAATACAACGTTCTTGGAAAGCATCAACTTAGAGGGGAACAGACTAAAACAGGTGCCACAACACCTTCCTCTATCTGTTAAAACTCTAAATTTGGAAGGAAACTTCATATCTTCCATAAAGAAATCAGCTTTCAGAAGTTTGAAAAAGCTAGAGCACCTAGGCTTAGCATGGAATAAAATCTTTAAAGTGACAACAGGTGCATTCAGGATGCTGCCCGTACTGCACCAGTTAGACCTGAGTCACAACACACTGAAGCAGGTGCCCAGACAGTTACCTAAAGGTTTGCACTCAGTAGCACTCAAGCACAACAAGATTCGGTCAGTGCCTCGTGATGCTTTCTGCTGGGGCAATAAAACTCTCAGCGGACTTGTGAAAGTGCAGTTGGAGCACAATTTCATTGATATGGCAAATCTGGATGCACATGCCTTCAGATGCTTACGGGGCTTCCAGGTGGTGCACTTCTATTGAGCATCTGAAAAGTTTCATAGGCTTGGATTTTTTTATGCACACAATTGAAATAAAAGTTTATAGTACTGAATCCTGCTTTGAAAGTTTTATCCAAGACCTGTGGTGAATGCCACTATTACGAGAAACCAATGATGAAACTCAAAAACAATATTTATTGTGTGTGAAATTCAGTTTATTGTGTGTGACCCACCAAAATCTCAGTGTCCGACTATTTTTATGACTCAGGCTGCTTTTCCCAAAAGCCCTTATATGGTAGGAAAACATCTGTTTGCATGCAGCATGAGCAGCCTAAGGTACCTAGAACCAGAATTGTATGACTGCAAATCATCATGTTATTACTGACAGTTTTTATTTCTGGCAGTTTTTCCATGACCAACTAAAGCAAACATTATTATTTTATCCTACAGTAATTAGGTTTTTTTTTTTTTAAAAAGCTGCTCTGTTTTATTAGGCTAAAAGTTAAATTAAGACTACTTATATGAAGGTAACTGAAGGGATGAAGGAATTAGAAATTTAAAAAAAAAAAAAAAGAAAGAAAGAAAGAAAAGCAGTTATGTTGAATGTATGTAAACTTGTTTAATTTAATTATTGGATCCAAATTTACTTTTCTTTTTAACATTGTCAGCATTGTTTTCATTTGTCCTAGTTTCTAGAATGTGGATATGTCAGATATGCTGACAGTGAGAGACTCTCTGTGGCCTATGGATTCATGTTTGTTTTGGGTAAAGTGTGAGCTCACTGATTGCAACCATCTATTCTTTCCTCTGTGTGTACCAACAATATGTTTTATGAGTCACTGAATAACAAAGATTCTACTGATTATATACCATTGTCGTGACACTCTATTCGGCTTTTCGTCTCCACTATAACATCTTACTTAACTAGATGTCTGTTTTCCTCAAATCTTCAACGAAAAAGTTTAATCATGTAAATTTGTCAGACTCAATAAAAAACAAGTTAAAATAAAGAACTCGTTTGCTGGTGTATTTGATTGTTTGTTCCTCTTTCCCTGTTTGTAACTATTCCAGCTTTCTGGTTCTTAGTGAAAGAACAAAGACAGTGTGATGGGGCAGTTTAAAGGTTCAGTCTTAGTTATCCTGTCGGTTGACTTATTGTTCCACGGTAAATACATGGCCCAAAAATGTAAATACATTCCTAATAAACTAGCCACTAGATGGCAATAATGTATAGAAGAACATTTCCAATGAGGACAGCCTTGGGGTATGTGTGCAAAACTAAAGACAGAAATGTGTTTTTACCTGGTACAAATACAACACTGTGGCAGTTTAAATGCATATGCTTCAGGAAGCTCATCCTGTCAGGAAAATTATATATTTAAGGTTATTTATGGCTTCAAGGCTCACACTACAATGGGAACTTAATGTGAGCATCGTGCACAAACACAGACAGGGGCAAGAGTCATAAAAAGATTTTCACTCTGAAGCAAATGTGTTTAGGATTTCACTCGCAAAAATTAGAGAGGATTCAACCTGACCACAGGCCTGGAAAAAATATACATGACAGAAGATAAATGAAGAAGGGGCATCTTTTCTATTAGTGAAAAGTAAGACAGAAGGCAAGAATGGGGTAAAAGCATTAGCCCACGTGGAGGTGCTTAGCACTTTTCTCCCTTTTCCTTCTTTCCCTCAGTCTAATAAGTTCAGTCAGCAACGTGGCACTGCACCCATAGGGCCTGGGAAAGAGGAGCAGGAGGAGGGGGCAAGAGGGAGAGCCGGGATGAGGGGGGAGAAAAGTAGAAGAGAGGCTGAAGGAGAGGAGGGAGGGCTCAAAGAATGGATCCAGGCTCCACTGGTTCAGTGCGTGTCCAGAAGGGAAGAGTTTTGGCTGCAGAGCTTACCAGCACCTCCTTACGGTCCAGCAGGACCCTGACCCTGAATCTCACCACCATATCTACCTGGGTCTTCTAGAAATCCTACTTATTTCTTTTTATACCTTTGTGCCTTTCTCTTCCTCCATCTGTCTCACTCACTTTTTTTTCTTTGTTGCACATTATGTTCCTGCACCCACTCACCTTTAAACCAAAGTGCATATCAATTTATGCATATGTGCATGCCTGCGCGCATGCATTTTTCTTCTCTGTACTTGTGTGGGAGTCAGATACGTCATGATCATCTGAACTGCTCCCTTGACACAGTCTGAGCCCGTGTGCTCATTTAAGCAGTTTGGCAGATGGTTGATTTGGCAGATTTGTGTACGTCGGTATCCTGTGCTCGATGCTATCTGATATTTAAGCTTATCCTAACAGGAGGAATGCAGGAGTAGTAGTAGTAGTAGTAAAAGTCGGGGCTTTGCCATTCTTTATTAAGAAAAGCTTTTGCACTGATTGATTTTCATTCAAACATGACTTATAAGGCAAAGCAATCATGTAATATTTGACTAAAGCCCCAACACCACTGACTTAAACATTCTGTCTATTTAATTTAGCATTGCAATTTTACACTTATATACAGATTTCACTCAAACAGTCCCATAGGTACAAATGCTGTGACTGAGAACACAAAATATGCAATTTATTTAATTTTTTTTTTCACTCTAATGCTGACCAAAGTCATGAAACTCCTAGAGGAATCTGACCACAAAAGAGAGAGTAGGAAGACAGAAAAGAACAGACTGAACAGGATATTAAACCACACCCTAGATGTGATCCAGCCAGACAAAACACACAGGCTGACTGGACTGAGTTGTGGTACTATTCAGCTGTTCAGTCTTTTCCTTTCCCATATTTGTAAAACTTATGAAACTTGTATACATTATCAGATGATTTATATTTTATGCTAAAAGTTTTATTAGCTACAGCAACAATTTTATGGAATACGTATAAACGAAGTGATGAAGTGTTTCAGTGATGGTTGACACTGACAGCATATCATTTGTGGCTGGCCTTTTTCACATACAGTAATTGAATGCAGTTCTAAGAAAGACACACATAAAGAAATCATTTTTGCTGTGTATATGTGCTGGGTTTAAGGGTGTCTTGCACAAAGACACACATACACATACACACCCATCTCTCTCTCTGTTTATCTTGCTGTTCGGCACTATACAAACCAATGGCTGAATTCATCCCCTAAGCCGAGCTCAAACTCTAGACTCCACTATAATTCAACCCCTGTCAACCCTTAACCTTAAATCAAAGAAAAGATGAATCCTAACTCTAACCTTAAGCCCAGACTCTGAAGATAAGATTGACCAACATGACCTCAGTTCTAAATCTCAAACGTAATCCTAAAGAATATAAAAGTCCTCGTGGAGATTCAAATGGCAGCTCGGTCCAAGCACGGTGACATTTCAAAAGCCAAAGGTAGGTGGCGCTTGAGTTAGCCCGGAGAAAGGGAAGGCAGAGGGAAGTAAAAGAGGGAGGGCAGCAAGTGAAGGAGGAGGCGATACAGAGAGAAACCATGGGAGCCAGAGGGACCTCTAGACACACACATACACACAAATTCAGCCCATCATATGGCTCTGCCTCAGGCCTGCACTAACAATACACACAGGCATGAGCACAGAAGTCACACACGCACATATACAAAATGCTAAATTGCTCTGCACCATCAAATTTTAGTTACACAAAGCTACTAAGGAACATTTAACGAAGGCACCCATTGCAGGGCATTCATTACTAACACATGTGTGCACACACTGTGCACATATGTTACTCAGACTCCACAAGGGGGCCTGTAAATGTTTATCTTCTGGAGCGAGACCGAACATCTTGATCTAAAGCAAAGCACAGTGGTATAAGCAGTCGTTACACTCCAAATGGGCCACATAATGTTATCTAAAGTAATTCATTTGTTGGCCAGTTTGAGAAAGCAGAGAGTGGTTTAGGTAGGATGAGGGAGTCTCTAGAAATGTCACACAACAGATAAGAAAACTTGCAGCAGGAAAGGATTTCCTCTTCTCTTCTTTGTTACAGTTGAAAATGTGTCTTATATTTGCTATCATTGATTTAACATTTTACTACTGGCATTAAATCCACCTGACACAGGCTTCTAACTAAAAAAAAACTTTGCAGGGTTGGAGTATGCAGAAATATAATTGCCTGTGAGTTATTCCCAGCCTATAAGTACTCAGGAAACATGCTCACAATAACCTGATTTATCAAGTCTTCTTTACGTGTTCTATCCCAGACCTAAAAAGCTGGTTGACAATTCATTTCACATAAAATAAATCTTCCAACTCAGTCTCCTAGCATTAAACTTGATGGTTGTTTATCATCAAGTCAATGCCTGTTTAGCTTTCAGCTTTCCTGTAGCTGGCCATTTGTTTGAAGGTGTTTGCACAGGGATTCATGCAAATAGCAATTACTGTACGTGCATGGAGCCAATCAGGGGTCCCTATTCTCTATTCACAGTGAGGACAACTTTGATCTTTTCCTCCCTTTTATCTCTGCCAAATAATTAATAAGCATATTCCATTGCATCTTACATATTCCCTCAGCCTTTTTAAAGTGATCCATATGATCCTTCCAAATAAAAGTAGAGACAGCACGGACTTGTAAAGTTGTCCAATTTCCAAGCTGTTCTGTTTTTTGAGAATTGTAAAATCACCAGCCAGTAATCTCCTGCAGGATTTCCCAGAGCACACAACTTTAAGACCCCGTAAATCTGGTTTTGGAGCCAATCAAAGCACCTTGTTTGTCTCATTCCCAGTTTGAGGAGCAATAAACAGTCTGACTTCATATCCATTCATCGAAATAAGTTTGAAGACATTCATCATTGCTTACTATTACAACAGTGATAACTGGGTTTTATCCAAAAGGACCTCCTGGAATTGGTGTTTGTCAAATAGTCATGCATAAGATACAAACCAACCATAAGCCACTTTCGCACAAATACTGCAGCTTCCAAAATTTGTATTATCTGATGCAGATGCAAGGGAGAATTAAAATATCTGACACAGATTAAACTCTTTAAGTTGCCAGCTCACCAGTCGAAGGTCCATGTGAGAATATTGCAGGTACATTCACTTGGATCAATACC